GGCCAAGGTTGCGAATTGGGCGCTGTCCTGTCTGCATGCGTTTTTCGCTCGTATTTCTGACTAAATTTGTGCTGTGGAAGTCGATATTTAATCTGTGGGCCAAGGTTGACTGGTCGGGACTGTAGTAAGTATATCGCCACAGAAGCATAAATTTGTGATTATCTACGGAACGCCGTATACCTGATGCGTTATGTCCCTAAAATATTTCGGTTTCTTCCCTAAACGTTAAGAAGGTTCAATTGCCAACTAGGTAGATTTGACCGAATCCAACCCTGGCTGTCAAGTGAACTCTAGCCTCACTGTTTATCTGGGTTTACATATGATCTTCACCAACTAAAATTATGAGTAGACATGGAACCGAAACCTACTACCTATAATCCGAATCCCGCGCGCTCGGTTTTCTCGTCGACAGAGCACAAGTTAATCGATTTGGCACGCAATGTATGCCATCAGCGACTTCTAGCCACCTTCGTCTTGACCAATGAAAACTCGCGGCGCCCCCTTTCCTGTGCCAACTATCACCTAATGAAATCCCTCGTTTGCATCAATCGGCCAATCAGAGCCGGTGTGCGTGCGCGTGCGTGTGCAACGTATGGCGCCACCGTAAAAGGCGGCGCTTGTGGCATTCACGGCATTCCGTCTGTCTCTCTCTCCTGCTTTGGTTACAAATCCAAATGGCGCTCCAGGAAGCAGAACTATTCGAAGACCAACACCCCCTGATTCGAAGCTGTCCTGCCTTAAACGAAATTCGTCTTGCCCAAGACATTAAAGACTTGACCATAGAGGTAACTTTCCTTAGTTACAGCGGACATTTGTGCGTGTTAGGTCAAGAACGGCGATGTTCTTCACGTCCATCGAATAGTGCTGGCAGCTCGCATTCCTTCTCTGCGAGCGTCTGTCAGTGGCCCCCTCGGGGTGGAGAATTCGGTCTTAAGGTGGCCGACAGCGCCGCTCAGGTTGGTTCTTTAGGTTTTGCTTACAACTTTTTTAGTCTCGCAAATGCGCTCGTCCAGTATGTGTACACTGGCCGGGTGGAGATGACAGAGAACAACGTGAGGGGCCTGATTGCGCTTGCAAGAATGTTGGAACTCCCCGCCCTGGTGAATTGGGGAGTGATGTTCATGGCCAAGAGGTACGCAAGTTCCCAACTATTCCTCTCTAACTGCCTGCTCTGAAGAGTCAATTTGGAGAATTTGCCAGCCACGTGGGACTTTGCCAATACTTTTAATATCAAATTACTGGCCGATACGTGCATTGGGCTGATGAAGGAGCATTTTGAGTTATTCGTACCAACTGAACTCTTTGTTCGTTTGTCGGCCGAAACCGTCCTCAGCCTGTTTCGAAGCGATCGCCTCTCCGTGGGATCCGAGGAGGAGGTTGTTACGGCGATTGCTCGCTGGACGGGCGCTGGTGCCTGTGGCCAGGCCGACGATGAGAGGCTGAAAGTACACGCGCCAGCGATGTTGAAAGAAGTTCAGTGGCACCTAACCGACGTGGAATGCCGCGATCGCCTGATGAAGGATCATCCAACGTTTGGGAAAAGTCCTGAATGTCTGTAAGTTTATGCTATTTCGACCCTGTTATTTTTTCTTAATAAAAGTCAGCTTATGCTTCAGGTTGAGCGGTTGATTGGGGCAGCGGACAAGGACAAGCTGGCCCGCCCTTTCAACTTAAGGCCTCGTCTGCGCCCGACGATCTTCCTCTTCGGAAAGGACAAAGATGGGCAGGGCAGTTGGTCTGTCCGTCGCACCGACCAGCACCTGCAGCAGGTAGAACGCGTTGCTGACATGAAGACGCGCCGCTGGTACGCCACCTACAGCGTCGTGGGCGGTGAGTTGTCGGAGAGTTCTGCGTCTCCTCTTGGGCGCATTTTGTCTGCTTTGGATGTTTTTGCTTGTTGAAGTCAAGCGCCTCTGTGTGCGACAGCATTTGGTGTTTTGTAGGAAGTAAATTAAGCAAATAAATCAGGCTCTTGCGGATTGTTTGTAAGTGACGGACGTTTTCTGTATTTCTTCTTCCGAAAGAGAGCATTTTCGTTGTCGGTGGAGGATGGAACGGCCCAGCGCTAGTTGATGTTGACGAGTTTCTGGTGAGAGAAGGACGCTGGCGCGAACGGGCGCCCCTCGCTGTTCGACGCCAGGAGCACGCCGCCGCCGTCGTGAAGGTTCACGCCGTCGACGGAGAGGAGACGCTGATTGGCATTTTTGGTGGAGGCCTCATGGAAGGGGACAGTTGCACATGCCTCGCCTCCTGTGAAGCCTATGACGTCAGGCAGGACAGGTGAGAAGGCGCTGGTTGTGGCGCATCTATTTTTTGCAAAAAAAATATTTCTATCCTTCTACTCACTTCACACCCCCACTTGCCCTGAACAGATGGCACAAATTGCCCGACCTGCCGGAGAAGAGGTCCGGCCCAGCTGCTGCCTGCCTGCCCGGCGACAGTCGGGTTTTCGTTTTTGGCGGTTACGATAGCTCCTCCCGGCTTGCCTCTGTGGTCTTCTGCAATCTGCGGGCGGATTGGCAGGAGAAGGCGACTTCAGCGCGCACCGCCGATTTTTGGCAGCCGGCTGCAGCCATGAGAACTGCGCGTTCTCGTCTCGCAGCGACACCCTTTCGGGGAGCAATCCTGGTCGCCGGTGGATACGATGGCCAAAGGGCTCTAAACGTTGTGGAGACGTTCTCACCGCCAGACGCCGGCAACCCCCTCGGCCAGTGGACAAAGCTGGCCGACATGAAGAAGCCTCGTCACTTGTTCGCTCTTCTCACTTCCTCCAACGCCGTTTTTGCTTTCGGTAAGGCAACACACAATAAAATGAATTCTTTCTTTCCTTCCCTCTCATGCCATTCGTTCGCCTCATCCGCGTGGCCAATTTTACAAGCCACAAGAGCGTTAAATCAGCTGATATGGCGTTGGAGTTGTTTCGTTCGCACTGCGCCATTACAGCCAGAAGTGGTTGCCTTGCTGTGCATACTGCCGAACCTCCCTTTTTAAATATCTTTTCTCTCGTGTTTCCTTTTGTCCTCCAGTGGAACTTCCTTATAGTTATGCAAAATTTGTAGGCAATCAGGAGGAACCGTTTAACACGGTGGAGACTCTCACGGCACCAGGAGGTTTAGCCGACATGGAAAATGACTTGACATCTTGGGTCTGGTCGCCTAAAATCCCATTGGAGACACTTGACCGGATTGACGGCGCTGCAAGCGTCTGCATGTAAAATTCTGCGCTTGCTTCTTGTTTCATGATCACTTGGAGTGTCCTCCGCTGCATTGACATTAGAAATAAATTACATGCAAATGAATCAGCCTTGACATTTGTTATTTCTAAACGTTACGCGTGCGGTGTCCAGCATATGGGGCGACTTAGTGAACTAGTTAATTTGTTCGAGGCCGGTGCTACACAGTGCAAATAGTACAAGTGGGCTACTATTGAATGTTTGTAGTGTTAGTATGTGCTTCTGCATCTACTCCCTGCTTCCTTATGCTGCAACATTTCGCCGTTAATCATACGTCGACTTGCCACTGCAAAATGACCGAGATACATTTGCCACTTTCTTGACCTGCTAGCTGAGATGAGATAGTCTTTCACCTGTACAGGACTTAAACTAGCTAATACCTCATTGAGAGTCCACCGGTGAAGTATCCGCAAAGTGTGACGTGGAGAAAATTAGTGCACTACGAAATACCCAAATTAAGACTTCAGATCTGAGAATGCAGATTTGTTCGGACCGCATGCAGTCAAGTCAGGGAGGTGGTATTCAGTTAACAAGGGGGTTCACATATCTGGTAGCCTCCTGTGGGGTTGCAGACGGAACCTCATCTTTGAGATGGTGATGCAATGATCCGTAGCACATGTTAGCTGGCTGATCGTGAATGAACCTGAACCTCTCAGGTTTACCCACGCCGGAGGACAAATGCGTGTTTTGAATGCTGTACCCTTTGTGTCTTCGTCACATATCTACAACTGTCTATAATGATGGCTCCGAGGGAGAATCCGAGACGTCAGAGAAGAAAGCCTGCAGTAGTAGTAGTAGTAGTAGTAGTAGTAGTAGTAGTAGTAGTAGTAGTAGTAGTAGTAGTACTATTAATAATAGAAGTAGTCAGTAGTAGTATAAATGGTAGTAGAAGTAGTAGTGTTAATGGTGGTGGTGGTGGTGATGGTAGTAGTAATAGTAATAGTAGTAGCAGTAGCAGTAGGATTGGAGACCCATTTATTTTTAGCAATGGAAAACGTGAGGAAAACGACCTTACTGTCTGACCACACTGGAACCTATCATCAATTTATTGGAAAGCGCTTTAAGACTATACTGGATATGCGCTGTAGCCAGACCACAAACTGTAGCAGAACAGCTTAATGCAATATTTGTGAAGCACTTCGCGTCGGGAATTGACACTATTGCCTATTACTATCTATTATGCCAATATCCTGCGTTCAAACTTAAGATACGATTATGCGAGTCGGCACTATCTGCCTGAATAAGCCCCGCTGTTGCATGCACCAACCCTGCGTATCTGACGGACGGACCCCTATCAGCAGCTCACTCGGATTTTGTAGGCCCTGGATCATGACATGCCTGCACACCTGGCGAGATAAAATTGATCGCTCTCAACACGTAGCGTGATATCGATCGCAGCACGTGCACGTAGATCTCCTCGGTTAGCCTAGCATTTTGATAACCTTGAATGTTATCAAACTGAGCTGATTGCAGCGGCGTGCAGAATCGGTGCGCGTGTACCTCGTTTGGCAAGACTGACAACGCAGCCAAGATCAAAACAGTGCACCGCACTTCATTCGATCCCACGACATTATCGCACCATATAAAATCGGCGTAGTGGTAACATTTTTGCATCGAAATTACCTTCCGCAGTCTAGTAGTGAAGCACTGGGAGACTTATCTCAACTAACACATTCATTTTGGGGAAAATGTATCTAGAGAAAAGAATAGAGAACACTTAGAGGCAGTGCATAGCTGGGTGATGTATAAACGAGGCAGAGGTGACTCAGTAATTGTCGTTCCTACCGCATCCGCCGCCTCAGTAAGGAAAAGATTTTAACTAGGAGAGATCAGAAGTGTAGGCATGAGGGAGCAGTGAGTAGATGCAGAAGCACATACTGACCTCGAGCCCTACACGCACAGAAATTCAATAATAGCTCACTTTCACTTTTTTCACTGGGTTGCAATATGATGATTTGGTAACACAATTGGTAGTTTCAGCACCTTTTATATCATAGAAATTACAGTAATTAGAAAGGTGCTAATATTCAAAAAAGAGTAAGATCGGAACCATTAATGACTCAAACGTATCTGCGTGAGAAATCATCGTTTGGCGGCCCTGACCACTCGGCCACCCCACCGCGTCTGCAGTCACCCTCACAAAATTATAAGCATTGTACAGGCGAACCACAGGCAAATAGGATTTGTGGTGTTAGCTCTCAGGGTCAACCATCTCGAGAAAGAGATCGAGCAGATAAAGAGTCTTTTACAATATGATCTAGGCATACCTGACGATACGAATGTATCCACTGGAAGAATAACTAGGAGCTAGGCAAATAACCTCACTTAAACGGCTCTTCAGAAATACCTTCTGTAACAGATATGGCTGGGCAGGAACAAATAGTGCCCAGCCACGCCACTTTATAAAGGCGGCAGCAAGGTCTTATCAAACATCTGCAGACCAATCGGCCTTACCCCAATTTGCTGCTAAATAATGGAAAAAAATTATTAAGCGAGAAATGATGCCCTTTTTAGAACAATATCATCTGCTATGCGATTCCCAGCACGGATTTCGTGGAGGCAGATCATGCGTGACAAATCTACTTTACTGTTTAGAACGCTGGACCTTGATAAGTGACGGCGGCAATGCAGTGCACACAGTCTATGGTGACTTCAAGAAAGCATTAGATAGTGTACCACACCAGCGTCTCCTGTAAAAAGTAAGCCGAAGAGGCATTAGAAGCAATCTCCTGAGGTGGATTTAAAGCTTCTAGATCGGTCGTTCTCAAATTGTCCACGTCGGTGGCAGGCAGTCAGCGGAGGTAGCGGTTGAAAGCGATGTTCTTCAAGGCTCCGTCCTTGGCCCTACCCTGTTCATATTATACGCCAACGACTGCGTCAGTGAACTGAATTTTGATGTCGCCATGTTCGCGGATGATGTTTAGTTCTGGAGCGTCATCCGAACTAAATTTGACGAAGACAGCTTGCAAGCAAACCTGACCCCGACTCGAGAAATGGTCGCAGGTCTGGCTTTTGTCTTTTAAGTTGGCTAAGCGCAACATTCTGCGAGTCCGTGGGATCCGATCTCATAGTCGCAGAGTTTACCACCAAAGTAGCGTACCATTGGAGGAGGTAGACGCCCAGAAAGACTTGGGTGTATGGATCACGGCTTCATTTAAACCGTCGCCCCACTGCTCCAAGGTAGCCAAGTCGGAGATGTCAGTTCTGTACCTCCTCAAGCGAGCTTTCTCTACCTTCGATGAGGACTGTTTTGCTAAATTCTTTCGGACACTCGTACGGTCACAGTTATAGGTCGGTATCCGTGCGTGGAAATCCAGGACTTCTAAAGACATCAGCATCCTTGAGGAAGTTCAAAGGCGGACAACCAAAGTCGTTAGTGGACAGGGCTCACTACCCTACGAAACACGGTTATTTAATCCTGTGAGTTACAGACAGGTAATTGGCGACCTGGTACAAGCATTCCGCATTATGCGCGGTCAGGAATGCCGCCATTTTTCCTGCTGACTTCATGGAGTTAGCAAACACGACGAGTTACCGAGGTCATTTCCTTAAACTACGTGTGACTGGTGCCAGGCTGGACGTGCGAAAGTTCTTCTCTTCTAACAGGGTGGTTGAGGCTCAGAAGGTTCCGCCTGCAGATATCCATATGTCCACATCCATCGAGGCATTTAAGCAGAAATTGGACCTGTATGCCACCAAACATCATAATGTCACGCGACCGATATCTTCTTTGGGTATCGTTCTGACAGGTTATTATTGCCTGTATTTCAGTAACGTTTGTTTTTTTATTTTACTACTGGCTGGACCCCGCCACGCGTTGCTGTGGCTCAGGTGAATTCAAAATCTCTGTTGGGTAACTAACCTGCCTCGTCTGCTTCCGCAACAGTGTAGACAGACGTATATGTGACTGCCTCGCTTTGAATCTTAGACTGAATAATATGGTTAAGATGGTACCCGTGTTTGTCGTTGGCCGCAAGAATAGCTCGTTCGCTCAGTCAGTCGTGATTGTTGAAAGTGGTCTGGATAGTGTGAGGCACCTTTTCAACCAATTCCTCTTTTGGAGACACTAAATTGCCGAGGCTAAGACGTAGTGAAATCCTTCTTGCAGTTAGATCAGCGGACACCGTTCCATTCCCAATTACCGGCAATTACTGCGATAATACTTCAGATGATCGGTGGTTTTGCAGCTGCAGACGCATATTGGTAGTTAACTTTGCCACAAAAACGTATTTCAGGCAAGCATTTATTTCGTCTGCTGTTGCCGGTGGAGCAATTATAGGCAGTATTTGCCTGAAGTCGCCTGCAAGCAGTAGCAGTAATCTCTCCAAAGGGCCTGCTTTTTCCACAAAAATCCTGCAGTGTTCGATCGAGGGCCTCGAGCGCTTTTTTGCTCACGGCGCAAATCCGCATCTAACAGAAAACCGGTTTGATGAGGACATTTCCGGTTGATAAGGAACTTTTTTCGCGATTTCTAATGTACATATCCCCGATCACTATTAACGCCTCGCTGTAGATTCCTGCTGTGAAATCCGCATGTGAAATTTTCCTTGCGCAGTCGACGGAAGATATCCTCAGCCATGTGCGATTTATATTTCTTCCATAAATCTGCTGGAGATGAAGGAGAGCAGGCGGTCAGTATGACTGCAAACAATGCCCGAATTTGATGTGGATCGGACGTGCTGCACGCAGCCCTAATGCAAACATCCCAGTGTCGGTCATTTTCCAATCAACTGAGAGCCTGGCAAGCACTGCGAAATTTGGCGTGCGTTGACAGATTTCAATTGCTGGAAAGACGTTGAGCCGGACACATACACCAACGCCGTGCGGAGTATGAAGCATTTGTCCCGATTGGGAGGCGCGCTGTGCAGTCTGCCTATCGCAGTACTTTTGAGTATACCAAGGTCTCCGTCGACTTGCTCTCGTTTACGTCGATCGGATGATTTTCTACACACATTCCCTGTTTAATACGTAGGCACTTCCGA